GAGCAAAAAAAAAAAAAAAAAAAAATCAACTACGCTAGGGACGTGAAAGCAGCCGGATGCAGATTCTGGGGCACATGTGAGAGTATGCACCTCCAAGGGGCGTTACAGCACTTCTGAAATCACGGCAGCAGGAACAAACAAAAGAAAAAAAGCAAAAATTCAGCAGCAACTCTTTGGACGTGAAAGCAGCTAGATACAGAATCTGGAGTACCTGTGACAGTATGCACTCCCAACCGCCATTGCAGCCCTGCTGTAATCAGGACAGCAGAAAAAAAAGAAAGAAAAAGAAAACAAAAAAGCAACAACACTTTGGACGTGAAAGCAGCTGGATACAGAATCTGCAATACGAGTGAGAATGTGGCCCCCGTTGCAAAGTGTCAGCTGCCCGTGGAACTTGAATGCGCCTTGCCTCTCGTTGGCAGGGCACTAAACGCGGATCACCAAAAAAAGAAAGCAAAACACATACAAAAAACGAAACTGGCTATGTTTCTGGGTAGATGCGTTCCTTTGAGTTCTGATGTGAGCACATCTCCTTCACGGTCTTCCCCGACGTCCTTCCTTTCTTTCTTTTCTTCTCTTTTTTCTTTTTTTTTGGTAATGGGAAATACAACTGATGCCGAGCTTGTGGTACCTCTGAACTCTTCGGGGAAAATGGGAAAACGTCCACTTTTCCCTAATTTCCCCACACTGGCGGAGGTACTAGTGCTAAAAAAAAAAAAAAAAAAAAAAAAAAGAGGACGCATCATTATCGCTGTAACTACAGTAGCCTGAAAGTTGCTCCAAATACAGCTACAATTACTGTTATTTTATTTTATTTTTATTTTTAATTTTTTTTAATTTTTTTAATTTAAAGAATCCGGCCTTAGTTGCTAGTGATGGTGATATTAGCATCCACCACTAGCAACTCGGCTACTGGCTCCATTCTATTGGTGGGGAGCTGCACCTGCTGGGGGAAGACGATGGTGACGGCCTAGATGGGTTATCCATCCAATTCCAGTGAGGCTGAGAGCCGTGCGAGGCTCCTGCTGATGTTGATGTCATTTGAACTTATTTCGATGTTGTATGCTGCTGCAGCTGCTGACGACGGCGCTGATAACGACATCATTGTTGTTCACCCTGATGATTGCTGTTTATTATATTGGGCAGGTGATCCGTCTGAAGGGAAACGGACCGCCATGACTTCGTGAAACAGGAAACGTTGCTTCGGACGTGATGCGGCCGAAAGACGTAGCATCACCAGCTGCGCAGTGCCACTCGTTAGGCAGTTCTGTCGTGCTGTGTTCCCTGTTGTTGACAGGGCAGCAGCTTTGCAGGTCCATGCCTGCTCCCTGTTGCTCAGGAAGCTTTGTGGCACCCCTACCCCCTGCTAGGACAAGGTAAGAAGATCACTCATCCCCTTTCTACTATATCTTCTTGATAAAAATATGACTGAGTATCTTGACCTTTTCTCTCTTAAGCTTCCCCTCCCTCCTAAATAACTGTAGTTAGTTAGGTTGTGAAGATTGGGCATTTCGCTCCATGCTCCTCAGCTTCCCTCTGTGACCAAGGAACAGTACTGTTTTTTTCTTCTTCTTTTCCTGATAAGCATTCAATCAGAGCTCCAAACAAACCAACAAAGAGAATGATGCCACGTTTGTGAGAATCAGCCAATGTTGGCCATCAACTTTTTGAACGAAGTTAATCTCAGTTCCTTGCTTCATCTTCAAACTTTTTTCTTGAGGTCTTGAGGTCTTGAGGTCTTGAGACCTTGTTGTTGTTGTTGTTGTCGTTGTCGTTTTCGTTTTCGTTTTCGTTTTCGTTTTCGTTTTTGTTTTCGTTTTCGTTTTCGTTTTCGTTTCTGTTTTTGTTTTTGTTTTTGTTTTTGTTTTTGTTTTTGTTCTTGTTTTTGTTTTTGTTTTTATTTCTGTTTTTGTTTTTGTTTTTGTTTTTGTTTTTGTTTTTGTTTTTGTTTTTGTCACAGAACAATTAGGAATACCAGGGCCGTTACCATGTCATTGTTGCAGCGGTTTTTGTTTTTGTTTTCGTTTTTGTTTTTGTTTTTGTTTTTGTTTTTGTTTTTGTTTTTGTTTTTGTTGTTGTTGTCGTTGTTGTTGTTGTCGTTGTTGTTGTTGTCGTTGTTGTTGTTGTTGTTGTTGTTGTTGTTGTTGTTGTTGTTGTTGTTGCTGTTGTTGAATTTGGAATACCGGGGCCATTACCCGGCTTTGGACAAGAAGACCAGGTAGATTCGTGAACAACTGCTGAAATTTGAAAGTCTTCTGAACGATCAGGAAATTCCACAGAAATTCGACAGGAGATACTGTAACAATGTCATGCTGAAAAGCTCACAAAAAATGGGGGGAATGGTGGAACTACCCAACCTTCACCCACTCCCTCCACAACAAAAGGGAAAGGGAGGGGAAACCAACCTCTCTTGCCGTGGGAAGTAGGCGAACCACTTGCCACTATCTGCCTCCGCCAAGGGTTAATAACTTAATACGCTCCGTCAACCCCAGCCTCGGAAAAATAGAGCAATCCTCAATCACTGCCCTTACCTCCCCAAATGCAGCACTTCCCCCCAAGATGCTACCTCCGCAGGAAGGCGCCCCCACCATCCCGGCAGATTAAAAAAAACAAAAAAACTGCAGGATAAAGAAAGAGGCTTCACAGCATCGCCACTGAAAATCACCCCTTCCACCACCCCCCCCCCCCCCCCCCCCCCCCCCCAAAAAAACCCCCCCCCCCCCCCCACACCCCCCCCCCCAACACCACCCCCCCCTCCCCCCCCCCCCCCCACCCCGCCCCCTCCAAAAGAAATAAAAGAAAGGCTCTCCTTCACGCAAGGGTTGGTAATGATCGTTGCTGCACAAAGATTGAGTGTGCGCAGGGAGTGAAGGAACCTTTTTTTTTTTTTCTTTTTTTTTTTTTGATAAGCAGGAGGAAGGAGCCAACACCTTCGTTTGTTTCGTTTTTTCGGTTCTTGAGAAAGCATCATGTGTTGGTTAACTAACAAATATCATTTTGCTGTCGTTTTTTTTTTTTGAGTTTCTTCTTCTACAGCTAATCATATGATTCATGCTTGCTCGAAAAAAAAAAAAAAAAAAAGAGAAGGCAAGAAAAGAAAAGGAGACACCCCCAAAACAGAAGAATTCAATGGAATTTCTTGCCTTATTCCAAAAAAAACAAAAAAACAAAAAACAAAAAAAAACACAAAAACGAAGAGGTACGTAAACGTGGGTGGGGCTCGTTCGTTCATTCATTCATTCATTCATTGCGGCCCCATATCTACAGCCCAGGAATGAACGAACGAATGCAACAGGGTGGGTGGGGACCACCAGCAGGTGAGTGAATGAACCAACGAAGGAATGCAAGGAAGGCATTGGATGAAGAAGAAGAAGAAGAAGAAGAAGAAGAAGAATGGAGAATCGAGAGTTGAGGAAGTTAGAAAATCCGTTCATTCATTCATTGCGGCCCCATGTCTACAGCGTGAAGGTGCAGTAGGGTGGGCAGTAGCAGCAGGTGAGTGAATGAACGAACGAATGCAAGGAAGGCATTGGATGAAGAAGAAGAAGACGAAGAAGACGAAGACGACGAAGAAGAAGAAGAAGAATGGAGAATGGAGAATGGAGAATCGAGAGTTGAGGAATTTTAAAATCGAGGGCGACTCGCTAACTGTCTGTCGAAGCAATGACCAAAGTTTAACGCGATGTCTTCTTGATCACACTTGCTCGGACATGACCAAAAGCTCAAAACCCGCCGCACGCACATCCCTCCCCGACGCGTTTCGCAAGAATGAGCGGCAGGACTTATATTTTATATATATGTCTTTTGTGACGATATATATATACAATGTGACAATATATATATATATACAATGTGACAATATATATATATCTGTTTGTGACGATATATATATATCGTCACAAACAGAACTGCCCGGTAAAACCGTAGGCAGAGAGAGAGAAGAGGACAACAAACGAGGGGCTGTGACATATATATATTGACGATATATATATATACAGCCCCTCGTTTGTTGTCCTCTTCTCTCTCTCTGCCTACGGTTTACAGCCCCTCGTTTGTTGTCCTCTTCTCTCTCTCTGCCTACGGTTTACCGGGCAGTTCTATTTGTGACGATATATATATGATATATATATATATATATGCCGGGCAGTTCTGTTTGTGACGATATATACATATATATCAAGGAGGGGGCTTACTACTGCTGTCGGCAGCATCCAGCTGACCTTCCACCCACGCTGCGCACAGAGGGTCTTTTTTTTTTTTTTTTTGACAGAGGGTCATTTTGGCCTTCCACTCGGCGCACGTATACAAGCTCGACTCACGGGGCGACCAACCCAACGAACGAAGGAATGAAAACGAACGAAATTAGTGAAATGAATGAAATGCAGCAAGTGAATGAAATGCACGAAATGCATGAAATTGATGCAATGAATTATTTTAAAATGTACATAATGAGCGAATGTACAAAATGAATGAAAATGAGCCGGAATGGTTAAGGAAATGAAAGGGGGGGGGGAGGTAATCAAATATGACCTTTTTTCTCGTTTTATGAATCGAGACAGCCTGAGACTGACTGCTTTATTTAGTGTTAATTTTTCATTTCGAGTCGCTGAGAGGTTGTCAGAACATTAAATTACTGGCTTACCAAAAAAAAAAAAAAAAAAGTTGTGAGAACACTACGCGGGAAGGCCTCTACCACGATCTGGACTTTTGGGAAAAAAAAAAAAAAAAAAAAAGAGAACACTGCGGGAAGACGACGGATCGGGGCGAGTCCCACTAGCAGCGTTGAGCTACCTCAACGCCTGAATCTGGACGCTTTTGCGGAGATGTGCAGAAATGGTGTTGAGTTTCCTGAACTGCACTTCTCCACAAACACGTCCAGATTCAGGCGTTGAGGTAGCTCAACGCTGCTGGTGGGACTTGGCCCCGGGGCCTTGGCAATGAAGTTGGCACGAAACTGAAAAGTCCCTCGAAACAGGAAGCGGAAAACGACAGACAGATTCTGAAGCGAATAACAAGCCGGAGAAAGTTTCCTTTTTTTTTTTTTAGCCGGAGAAAGTTTCGCCACCTCACTCACTCTCTCTTTTTTTTTTTTTTTTTTTTTTTTTTTTTTTTTTTTTTTCTACCACTGTCTCTCTCTCTCTCTCTTTCTTTCTCTTTCTTTCTCTCTCTCTCTTTCTTTCTCACTCTCTTCTCCCCTCTCTCTCTTCCTCCTTCTCTTCCTCTCACTCTCTCTTTTTTTTTTCTCTTTATTTGTGTAATCTCGGATGCATCCGACCATGGTCTGCCCTCGTCTGTCGCATAACTTGATGCAACTATCATCCACAATGCTTTCAAAATCGACGCTCTCGGCCTTCGCGTGTTCTTCGACCTTGGATCTCGTCGTCATGGGAAAAAAAATCAGTACAGTCATCTGTACGCTCTCACAATGGATTCCTATGCAGTAGACAATACAATGAAAAAATTTAAAGTAGTGAGGAAAGGAATCCCTGAAAGTAGGCGCCGATGGGTACTAGTAACTGGCAAAATTTAATTTAATCTAGCGGTACCGAACAAAACAAAATTGGTTGATTGGACAAAGCCTCAGTGTTCGAGAAAAAACTTCTAGATACGGTACAATCACTTGTAAATTGAACCGTACCCCGGACCGATACGGACATATGAGACTACAATGCCTCTATTGATTCAATATTTCGGATGCATCCGAAATACGAATGCTGATTGATGACGGTACGATGCTTGTCATGATGATCTCTCGGCTGTGTGGAGTGCACATTTGTTGTTTGCCACGGACTCTCTCTCTCCTGTCATCTCGGATACATCCGAACTCGGCTTACTCTCGCCTTTCGAAAACCTTGCAGCTCTTGTACAGCTAGACTTGTGCTCTTCGCGTGTTCTTCGACCATGCGTCTCCTGTGCCACGTGTCGAGATGGAAGAATTTTTTGTACAATCATTTGCACGCTCTCTCCCTCTCTCCCTGTTTCTTTCTCTCTCGAGGTACGCTCTCTCTCTTTCTCTCTCTCTCTCTCTCTCTCTCTCTCTCTCTCTCTCTCTCTCTCTCTCTCTCTCTCTCTCTCCCCCTCTTCAAATGTACACAATCATAGGTGAAGAACTGCAATTTATTTTGGTCCGCACACTCATAAATACGATGTCAAACTTTATTGATGCTGGAATGTGCTCAGTTACTGTAACAACGGCCTTCAAATCTACACAATCATCTGTTAAGAGGTTCAACTCATTGTGCTCCTCACACACGTCACTTCAAGTCATTATACTCTTCGAATTCGGATGAGTCCGGCGCTAAACTCCGAGTGCGACTCAGAAGTAACTCTGACTGTGTCTTAGCACATATTGACTTCGGTCCTCAGACTCGAAAGTGATTTCACTTCTGGTTCGGATGTGTCTGGATCTGGTATACAACGCCGAAATATACAATGTGTTAGTGTGTCCTAAATTTGTTTCAAAATAGTACACACAATAATATATTGTTTTAACAAATAACACGTTGATAGTAGATTTCGCCCGAACAGTCAGGGCGAAGGGTGAGCCTAGGAAGACGCTGAAGAGCGAATAGGATGAAGGAATAAGTGAAGGGAGAGTTATTTCTGATTACGAATTGCAGTCGAGAAGAGCGAGATTTCTTGCAGGAAACAGACCATCCGAGGAGAGACTGAAGACTATCTGTGGACTTTTGAGTTCCCTAGGAAGAAGAGAAGCAATTTCATATGAGGTAGAGAGGTACGAGTTTGTGGATAGCGGATGGGAGGAGATACGTGTATATGTGATGACTGTCTGGTTTATCCATTTAGACGTATATGATGTGAGGATCAACCTGCCTGCGGAGAGAGAGGTGGATCTTGTATACGGTCGACTGTGTATCTTTTTAACGCAAAACGGGGGAATTCAACTCCCGTTGAATCCCGTTAAACTCCAAAAAATCCCGTTGAATTCGCGTTAAACGCGAAAATGGGCCACTCCCACGCTTTTCGGAAAAACGGAATTGATGCGCGGGGTCCAGAACACGTGGCCCTAGGCAAAAAAAAAA